CTTTCCCTAAAATTATATTACTAATAGCAGAGAGATTCTGCAAAGCTGTCACTATTGGCATTTGGATATGTGAGGTGCTCTCTTATGGTAAGAGAGCAATTTTACTTCCAATTAAGTTTCTTAAAATTGTCTCAGGCTAAGGCCGAATCATCCCTTTCCTATAAGAATTGAATGGGATAAAAACAATTCTCAGCTGACGCTAATATGAGGCAGAAGAAAAAGTCACAGTGGTGCCTTCTCAGGTCCAGCTGAGCTGGTACTGCAGCAGCAAGCCATCTGTGTGATTTTAGTGAGAAATTCCCTAAGAAAAGAAAGGTCTCTGTTTTCTAAAATGTTTGGAGTAAGGAAACAACACCAGCAACCCCTCAGCTATGGCAAATCATCTGAATTGTAACAAATACAGGTTTATTCCAAGCCAGGAAATGCTGTGGAAATTGCACTAAGGAAAAGAGACATTGAAAATGAGAGGACATTAATATTAAACAGAATTCACCAATATAAAACTGTCAGACCACTAAAAATAATTGTGTGTCACCAGAGAGGTCAGGCATGATTGTCCCCAAAGATGCGGTTGCTGAATGGCTGTCTTGAGCTTAGGAAATCTAGTAATGGAAGTTAGGTTTCCAATCAGTCCTTGGCGATGTTTCTTCCAGGAGTGTGAGGAGGGTGCTGAACCATAAGGACTCAGCCACCAGCCTGTGACTGTGAAATTGGAGGGGAAATCCCTCCCACTGTCTAGTGACCCCCTAGGAGCCTGTCAGGATTGCCACATGCCCCCCACCCCCGTCAGTCCCCTAATTAGGGTGGAGATGAATCCTCTGGAGAATCTGCTTGTTCACAACCTTTCATTCTTAGAGACCTCAGGGGTGTTGCTTACTGCTTGCAAAGCTTGAAAATGCAGAGTCCTGTTCTTTTGTGGCTATGGTGCAGAAGGAATCTTGGGGTCAAAGGAAGATAGCTTTGGGCAAAATTAGAGGTAGAGTGGGTTTCTCTTGAGAGCTTGAGGGGTCTCTTGCCTCTCCAGGCCCCTCTGAGCCCCTCTCCTGGACATCATTTCTATGAGGTCTTACCCCGAGCTACCTGCACATTTTGAAGCACCTGAGAAGCAAACCCTGACAACTAATATCTTTGGCAGCTTAAGGAGTTTACGACGTTACGGCTACTCCAAGAAAACTAAAGACGGCTCATGGTGTTACATTTTAGTATAGGGTTCCAGAAGACTAAAAGAACTTCAGAACCCAAAGGAATCAATTCCAAAAAATTTTAGGCTTTGCATTAGGCCAAATGGGAAGAAAGACTTGGAAGGAGTCCTGTAGCTCTTAATGATACACCTCAGACCATACCACACAGGGTACTTTCCCCTTTTCCAAGTAAACCTAGACTGTGCCAGCGGGGTTAGCCACAACTGAAGTGGGTGTCCTACATGAGCATTGCCTCATCTTTTCAATCAACATAGCCCTAGTGAGTGGAAACATGGGCCCCAAAGAGACCCTTAGAGGTCATCCCTAAGTGGCCTTCAAAAGACTGAAGTCTCATATCTTAAAAAGTCACGTGAATTTTTTTCTACTCCCGAATATTTTCATGTTTGTTGGAAACTAAGATTGTAAAATACTTAACATCTGGGGAAAGCATTTTCTAAAAAGTTTCCTACCCTGTCTATCCATTCATTCCATAAATATTCATCAAGTACCATTCCCATCCTGGTACTATATCAGTGATCAAGAGCTTCAAAATTCTCTCTCATGAAAGAGAGAGAGAAAACAAACTAGTAAACAAATAAGATAAGAGAGATACATGCTGTGAGGAAATAAAACATGGAGATGGGATGGATAACTACTGAGATGTAGCCTGACAAGGTAGTCAGGGAAGGCTCTAGAAGGGAAGCGACGTTTGCAGTGAGACCAGAATGATGAGTCAGAGGAACTGCAAACATGCCAGGCAGAGGGGCTTGAAGAATCTTACTGCAGGGGTGCCGAGGCAAGAATGAACTCAGTGTGCTGAAGGAATATTAAGACGGCTAGAGCATCCCGAGAAAGTGACATGTGGTAAGCCCAGCCAAGGGAGGCAGAAGACAGATAAGGCACAACTTGTAGGTCAGGTAAGGAATCTGGATGTTATTCCAAGTGCAGAGTGAAGCGCTTGGGGGTTTTAACACAGGGAATAACGTGATTTGATTTTGCATTTGAAAAAGATCATCTTGGCTGTTGTGTGGAGAACAGATCGAAAAGTGTAGCTAAAAGCACATTTTGGAGGCCGCTGTAGTATTCCAGGCTTAGACTAGATGGTGGAGGAGCTGGAGAGAAACAGGTGTGTTTTAAAGGTAGAACCAACAGGATTTGCTGATGGATTTGATAATGAAAGTGAGGGGAAAGAACTGGGAATAATTCCCCTAGATTAATGGCCTGAAAAATGGTGGTGCTGGCACTGATAGAGGAAAGGAACTGATGACTTTGTTTGGGGGAAGTGGTAGCAGGGAGTTAGGAATCTCTAGTGGATGTTTTAAGTCTGAGATCCAGGCAGGGAAGTCAGGAAGGCAGTTGTAAGAATCTGGGGCTTGGAGAGAGGTGGAATATAGATACAAGTTCAGAAATAGGGAACGTAGAGCCATGGAACTAGATGAGATCACCTGCAAAGAGGGTTGAGATAGAGCAGAGTGGAGGAGGGAGGAGGGGAAGGGAGGGGAGGCGAGAAAAGAAGGGAGAGGAGCTGGGGAAGAAGGAGTCAGTAACGAGCCGTTGATATTCCAACATTTAGAAGCTGGGTAGAGGAGGAGTCAGGCAAGAGTTTGAAAAGCACAGGCCTATGAGGCGGGAGGGAAGTCAAGAGAAGAAAGGGCGTGGGCAGACAGCACCAGTGATGCCAGTGCTGCTTAGTGGTCCAGCGAGATGAGGACAGGAAGTGACCAGGGGATCTGGCTGCGTGGAGGTTATCGACCACCTTAAAGATAGCAGTTTCTTGGAGGAGGGAGCAGAAGCCAGAGCGGGGCGGGTTGAAGAGTATGTGGGAGGAGAAGCTTTGGAGACAGTGAGTGCAGAACACACTTTTGAAAAGGCTGAGTGTGAAGTGAACAGAGAAATGGGGAGTAGTTACAAGGAGATGTAAAGGTTGGGTTTTGTTCATAGAAGATACCAAAGTGTGTTTGGATGACTCATGGGACTAGAACAGGGGCAGAAACTGGTGATGCAGGAGAGCAGAGCTTCAGGAGTGAAGGCTAAGAAAAGGAAGGGTGGGATCCAGTTTCCCAAGAATTGACCTACCTTCAAAAAATGAATCTAAAAGGTGAAATTGATAACTTTTTATTCTTTAAGAACATTTGTACTATACTGTGGGAGTTATCCTACAATAAAGACAGCTAGCATTGTGTGTTATATCCATAAATCATATCTAATTCTGATTCTGGGATTCCGAATGTTTTTTTCTTTTCTTATATAGATTATCATTAGGCTGATACTAATGATTTACTAGGAACTACACATGAATCATTTGAGTTATCATTCTCCTTCTCTTTCTAATATTTCTATCAGGCAATGCATTCGCTAGAGTGAAAATTGGAGATTACCATTACTATGGCTACGGGACTAAGAAAGACTATCAAACAGCAGCCACGCATTACAGCATCGCAGCCAACAAATACCACAGTGCACAAGCCATGTTCAACCTGGCCTATATGTATGAACATGGTTTAGGTATCGCAAAGGTAATTGTGCTGCTAATAATCCAACCTAGTAACAGCAGCTGTACAGGAAGGAAAATTTATAATGTTTTACATTTCATTGATGTCATCAATGTAGAGAAAAAGACTTAATATTTGCTGAGTCCCTCCCACATGCCAACACATATTATGTACCCTGATATAACCCTATGAGGTAGAATTTATTTTCTCCATGACGCCCAAGGATGGAACTAAAGAGGAGAATAAATCTAGTCTTGGCCCATCTGATTCATAGTAAATTCACGCTTTTTCCAGCAACACTAGTAGGCCCTGCCCCCACTGCCTTCCACCCACAGGCCTTTTTCCATTAAAATTTCCATTGACTCACAAGCTCTCAGTAATAAGGAGAAAGTGAGAATGAGATCAGAGCTGGATACAGAGGTGGCATTAATCCAGAAACGTCTTTTGAAACACCCACTGTGTACATGACATAATGCCGAGTGCTCTAGAGAGGCCCAAGAAAATAGATCTCCATCCTTCAAAGACTACACCTGACTTGAGGAGATGAGGCATATTCACTGAGGGCTAACACTACAAGGTGATAGCGGGCAGATCCTTCAGACAGTCAGTGTAATTAAGACAGAAGATGGCATTAGGGTCTGACAGGGTGAGAAAGGTGATTACGATAGCCAGGTGTTGGCATG